AGAACTAAGCAGGTCCTATTGAAACTTTTTAAAAAATGCCACACAGTATTAGAAAACATCAGGAGGAGTCATTTCCAAAGCTATGGGAAGCTGTCTCCAGACAACCTGCTTTTCCTTTGGAAATACACTAAAAATCGTACTGTGTTCCTGTTAGCCAAAATTTTTAAACAAAAATTGACTACAATTCTACAAACATAGAAAAGGATTCCTAACTCACTATTCTCACTATACTCTTGACTTTGGGATGTCAATGTTGAAAGAACCAGACGAGGTTACTGGAACCCCAGAAGGACAGCTCTACAGTGAAATCTACACTCGGTAGGAAATAGTGTTAAAGGGAGGTGCTCATGTACCTGCTAGCAGTGCCTTAGCTGTGACATAAGCCAATAAGCTCTCATAGAGTTTAGGATTGGTGGAAAACAAATAATAATTACCCAAGGGAGCTAAACACACCCTGAAGAGCAGGGGTTATGGGATTCCTTTAAGTGCCGGGAGTATTTTCTTGGCTGCAGGAATCTGGGAATGCCAATTCTTCTAATTTCATGAGCCCACTGGAATATTGTGAAGTCTGGGCAAGGTAAACTAACTCTCCCACATTTGTGCTAAAGGAGTAACTGTAGACATGTCCCAATTTGAGAATGAAATTACCTTTCCTCATGATGGCCCCAACCCTGACACTTTATAGAGAGCTTCCTTTATCATCAGAAATATGGGACACCAGATTTTATTTCCCTTTGGACAATGAGATTGTGGTTAGCATAACATCAGTGCCCCTAACATCAATCCTCTGTGAAAAATCTGTTTTATGAAGGCCAGAAAGAGCTTGGGCAGAAAGGAGACAGACACAGTGGTAGATATATAAACACCGAAAGAGAAACTGAAATCAATTCTGAAAACAGCCGACGCCAGGGCATCATTGGCATCCTTAAGCACCTGCCATTTTAATATTCAAACAATAGGATATTTACTGAAACAGCAGATCAATTCTTAAAGGAGAGCTGTTCCCAGTGGGGTTTATTTGTGGTTGTCTGTCCAACATCCATTAGACAGGGACCCTGTGTTTAGCAGAGTGGATTCAAATGAATGGTAGGAGAGGAAATAGATTCTATTCTCTGTTTACTTTATTACTATTGATTTCTGAATTCCTTCCAATCTATTTCCTAACTGGGCAGATAATATACATTTAGTACCAAAGGTAATTATCCAAAATGAACCCAGTTTGCAACTGGGTGATAAAAAAGAGAGAGGATACCGATAGATTAAACACTTATACATTAAAAACTATGACCAATTGGATTTATATATGTAAGAGTCTTAGCAGACTCATTTTATGGCTAGACATAATTTCCTAGGCTGCGAGTTCATGTACACACATAGGCATATTTTATCCCCACCATTCTATAATTTGTGGCATTATGTTATAGTACAAACACTAAGATCATAAAAACAAAATCATTTCAAATGTTTTTTTTTAAAGTCTACTTCCCACAAAAGAGAACTATTTAGGAAAAAATGTTTAAATGTTCAAAAAGCTTTAGAACAATTTAGTTGTGGGAAATTACAATTTTTTTTAAAGCATCAAAGTTAGAAAAGAGAGCATGGAGCACATCATTATAAAATTATATGTGAAACAACTTAAATATTTAGCAATAGCAAGTGGGAAAATACAGTAAATCCATGCTATGAAAGATGATGCAGCCTTCTAGTGTCATGATTATGAGGAAGTTTTAACGTGTGGGGAAAGCTTATTAGGGTATGTGAGAAGATAAAACTGTATGTGTAAACATGTACACAGTACAGCCACAAATGTGAAGGAATGTTTGTCTATATTTGCATGAAAAATACTGAAGTGCAGGAAGATGTTAGCAGTTACTGCTGGGTGATAGGTAGTGGATGGTTTCAACTTCTTTAATCCTATCCCGTTTCCTCCTACATTTATAGAATTAACATTTTTATAAATAATTGGTGTTTTGAAATGTAAACATATTTGTTATTTTCCTAAACAAGTCATAGAAAGATGGATGGATGGACCACTTGGACGGGCCAAAAGGCTTGACAAGCACTTTGACCCCTGGCTTGTAATGACCTGTGGGCATTCACCTGCTGAGGACTCCTGGGACAGAGGTTTGGTGACAACTGCCCATTTGCAGCCAGGGAGAGTTTCCTGTATAATACTGTAAGATGTCCAGTGTCAGAAACTCAGGGTGCATCACACTTTTGAAGGAGCAATACTGTTATATAAATTTTGCAGTAGTTGGGGATAATAATAGAATGACTGAGGGAGGAGGATGAATTCTGGGATCAGAGTGACTGAAAGTGGCTCCTACACTCACTATTTGAGTACTTGACAAATGACTTAATCCCTCTTTGCCTCCATCCCCTTGTCTGTAACATCAGAACAGGCCAGTACCCCATGGTGAGGCTAGATTCAATGTGTTGGAACAATGCATAAGTACTAAAAATTTTTGTCAGAGGAATAAATATAATTCTGACTTGTATTGGTCAGAAAAAAGTTACAAATGAAGTGGACATGGCCAAAATATTTGTAAAACATTTGAGTGTTTGGATAAGCTATTCTGGAGCAGGGGTATAATTTTCTGTTGAATCTAAGTTGCTACTTGAGATTAACATGCATTTAGATGTTTATACGCACCTGATAAGGCTCTGTCCATGCATCCATTGCTTCAGAGTAATGCACTAATAGTATTTATAATGTGTTTAGTACTTTGTACACTAGTATTATTTATAGTGTGCTTAGTACTCTGTATTTAGACTGTCATATAAGACATGAAACTGAATAGGTCCTCGATAAATATTTACTCATTGGAAAAAAGGAATGAATGAATGACCACCACAGCTGCACTGTTATCTCTTTATGTCCAGATTAACACAATGGTCCTGCAGTTCGACAACCTTTCCCCTTGTTACTAAGAACTGGGGTGGAAGTATCAACATTTTTTTTTTTAAATCTAAAACTTTCTACTATTGTAACATGGAAACGAGACAGAAATATCAAAAGTCAAGCAACTGATACCTTTTTTTTTTTAACTCCGAGAAGAAAGTAAACAATTCACAGCTCAGACCTTGAACATCTTCAAGAACTTTTTTTTCCTAGGGACCATGTTTGGGGGAAGACCTGGAAGCAGAGATACTGAAACACCAATGGCAGCAACAGTAACCAGCAACAGACATCTAGCCTGCCCTGTGGTTTTCTCCTACCCGGTAGAGTGTGGCAGGAACGTTACAGCAACTGGCATCGAGGGCAGTAGTTCATGTATGAATGGTCTAAAATGGTAGATTCCCCTGCAGTAAATGCCGTTATTGCATGGGAGAGGAAAATAACTTCAGATTCCACCGGGTATTTATATGTTTCGGAGTTCCTGTTCACACACTGAAGTTTTGAAAGTATAGTGTAATTTTCAGCATTTTGTAAAGGTTTTGGCTCCAAAACAGGAAAAAAAAAAAAAAAAAGCAGGGGAGTGAAATGCCCCGGGGCCCGTAAAACCTTGATACGTTTCTCTGTGTCACTTTCTTCAAATGTGGGACTGCTCAAACCACACAGATAATTATAGATGACCAGATTGTAACTGTTTCATTGCTTCTTTTTCCCCATAAATTTTAATTTTGGAAAGTTAAGTGAAAAATGTGGTTTCAATTTCCTACAAATTGCACACAATTCAGTTTTAACAAGAAAATAGAAGGAAAGAATATGTTCTTTAAAGTGAATTATGAACTAGAGTTTGTTTTCTCTCGCTCGACACTGTAAGAATAATAAAGCACAAAATTTAGGAAAAGACGCCTTACAAAATGGAAGTCATGAACTGCACTAGAAAAGTGGAGTCATTTTTTAAAATTCTAAAGATGGCTTAAGCAATCTAACAGGATAATACAATTGAGCTACTCTTTCTGCTAGTGGTGAAGGAAACAAACTTTAGAAGGCCAGAAAGGAGGAAGAATGAAGGGACGTAGGAGTGGACACCGACCGACAACCTTAGTGTGTGTACAACAGGAAATGTCTTAATCAGAAAAGGCAGCCTGATCACCACCATAGCTATGTTTACAAACCAACAAAAGATCATTAAAAACAATTAATATTGAAATCATTTAAACACATAGCTAGAAACACAACAAAAGACAAGAATTACCAAAGAGATTTTTAGAATGAAGAAATTACGTCTTTCTCTTCTGTCATGGGGGTAATCTTAGGGTTAGACAGTTTTTTTGAAGGTAGTCATCTGCAGCAACTAGCCTGTTAGAGACAGGAAACCCACGAAGTGTCTCTACCTCACCAAACTCACTGGCTGGAAAGCAAACAATGAAATCAGTCAACCAGATGTTTTCTGTTCTGTGCCAAACTTTGGGTTGGATATCATCTCTTCTTCCTTAAATTGAACTCTACTTTGACTTTATTAGCAGTACAGACTCTGTGTCAGGCAAAAGAAATTATTCAGGTAATAAACTATTTGAACAGAAATCTTTCTATCGCTCCAGTTCTCTGTTCCTTAATTACACCACCAAGCTTTCTCAAGTTTCTCCTTCCAGAAATGCTTCCTTCCTGACATGCTGTGACAATCACATCGCCTAGGCTAAGAAGTCTACAAAAATGCTGACATTCGTAGCTTGTAAAATCTCCTCAGTCTAGGTTTTCTTTTTTGGCCAAAATATAGTATGCACTAGTATTTTTTTTCTAATCAGGCTTCAAGCTGCAGGCTTGAGTGCCTCTGACAATCAGAACACTAAGTTCTGGCTTAAGAAGGTCCAGCTATAAACATGGACTTGGCAAACTTAAAGTATTACTCATTGGCTAATAATCCCATTAGTCAAAACTGCAAACTTCTGGTCAACTGCATATTTTACATATTACTGCATGAAACTCCAGCAGAAGTTCTCCATCCCAAATGTCCTTTGAAGGCATCAGGATTAACAAGAGGTGATTTGCTCTGTTGAAATATAAAAGCTGACTTGTTCTGCCCAAAAGTCAATAAATATTTGGTGTTGCCAGAAGGCTGTTCTCTGCCTGTAGCAATCATATTACACAACCCTCAGGTATGACTTTCATTGAGCTGTGAACTGGCTGAGCACAGTATTCACTTACATCTCTGTCCCAAGGCTCCTTATACAATGCAGGCCACTAGCACTGGTGATGCAACAGACTAAGAAGTCTTCACAAGAAGCAGCTCAGAACCCTCAGGGATCAAAGACTCTACAGTGGGCATATTGGTAAGGAAACATGTGAGTATGCTAAATAGTCTTTGTCTTTTTTGATATTTTTGTTCATTTCTTCTTTCAGTAACTTGTCCCCACCAAAACCCTCTAAACCCATGTCCCCCACTTCTGCTAGCTTTGTTTCCAAATCTATCATGATAAAAAAAAAAAATGACAGCTCTCCATGCCAAGGAGCCTGAAATGCTTGACTCATTGCTGTAAGCACCTTCTCTCTACCATGAAAAAAAAATGTGTGGCTAATACTAGATGAATTCAGAAAACTCTTTTCACTTCAATGCATGTAATTTCAATTGCAAGTACTTTTTCTTAATCAAAATTGAATCAATATGTTCAGAATTTTTCCATCTTAAAATGAATGAAACAAAAACACCCCACGTGTCCTTATGCCTCTTGTGGGGGCTGGGGGAGGAAAGGGGTAGGAAGGGCAGAGAGGAAAAGTGCAAACAATGAACTTGGGAGATCACTGTCTCAGGATTCTGGAACTGTACAGAGCAGACTCTGACAAAGTGTTAAAAATGAAAAGGAGGCAGATGAGTGAGGTAGAATTTCTCTAAGTTCTTACACATAATTTTCATAAAAACTAATGTTTTATTGGTTTCTTTAGATACAAAGACAGCTTAGTGCCCATTTTAAGGATGTGGAGCTCAGTCATGGGGAGAAAACAGAAAGATGGAATTCAACACAGTTCTTTCAACTCTAAAGCCCTGGGGTAACCAACCTTCTACTTGTCTAATTTTCTGACCTATTAGACTGGACCAGGCATCTGACTCCCAGGCATCCACGCAGATTTGCAGCAGAATGCTGCATCGCTTTGACTTGCCTCACATGCTAACACAGGCTTCCTGTGTCATCTGCTGGGCACCAGGGTCACATCCATATACCTCACGCTGTGCACCATGTTCTGCATATAGTTGGCGTTCAATTAAAGGCAGAGAATGAAACTCAAGACAACAGACTTGCTTCTACTCTGGGAAATACATTTACTCTTTAACCCCCAAATCTTTATTGTGGTCAGTGAACTAAAGGTGTAAATGCAGAAAGAAGAATAAGGATTGCGAGGGCCTTTTGAGATGCTTGATGGACAAGGGATTCCCACAGAATTCTAAAGAATGCTGAGGCCTGTGAGGGACCCAGTCTAATGCTTGGCAAGAAGCAGGTCCACACTAGTCAGCTGGGCAGGCAGATGATGGTAGGGGCTTTGTGAAGGATGGTTGCTTGGAGGATACTGGGGGAGACTGGCGAGGGAGTATGGTACACAGTCCATCAGTAGACGTGAACACTTGTGCCTAGGTACCTAAGCCAGGGTTTGGTGACAGATCTCTTGGCAATCACCTAAGATTATGCATGGAATATTGTAGATAAAAACATTTGATGGGTGTCCTACTGACAGAAGCAAAGTGTAAAATCAGATCTTCCTGAAATTCCTGACTTGACTAAATGTCTGTGGCACTTTAACAGTTTATGGAGCTCAGGAGCCTGCTTTGCTAAGCTTTGGAGCAAACCCAGTGTCCTTACATAGTGAATGTGTTGGGCCCTTGAGGTGGACTTATACACTCTCCCTTTAGCCTCCCAGATCCAGGCTCTCATTCTGACTGTTTCTTTCCCTCTGGCCAAAGTTCAACCACAGCTCAACTTTCCCAGCCTCTAGAGACTGAGTGTTTGGCCTGCCTCCTGACCAAGTGTGAGGTATTTCTTTCTGTTTATGAGATAGGCTACAGAGCCCTTTCCAGGATAATCATTCATCTTGACTATGACCCCAGGCAAAGGCAGATGAAACTGGGAGATTCCAGATCAATAGATTAGTTTGTAAAATCACTGAATCCTGATGGGACAAATTAGTTTGATTTGGTTTTAATTTTTCCCCATTTACTGAATGACTTGCTCATTCTTCAAGAATAACTTCGAAAATTTTACTTGAATTCTTTCCTAATTAAAAATAACCTCTTGAAGTAGAAACATAATGGTTTTCTAATTCTTTTTTTATTTACTCATCCATCAATCTGTCCCTTCTACATCCATTACTGGACTTTTTACTCTTTGCCAGACATTGTACCCAGCATGCAAACTCCATCCTTCAAGCTGTCTGTTTTTCATTCCTTTATAAATTCTTGGTAAATAAAGACACAGATGAATGAATGAACAAATTAATTAAATGATGAAGAGAGCAAGTCCACCAGGAGAAAGAAACTGAGTATTGCCAACTGTATGCCTGTGCCAATTTAGGAAATTCTGTCACACATTTTAAATGTGGCCAGTAATTTCCAGGGACATGAAGTTGAAACATTAGATATGAAACACAAAGTTAGTAGAACTTCCTTGTAAAATACATGACTTCTGACTGAGATGGTCAGAAAAGAATAGGAAGCAGGCTCTTGGCAGACACCTTGTTATACTTCGTGGCCTGGGCCATGCGTAAGTTGGTCTTAAGTCTGGACTGGAGTAGCTGGATCCAGATGTCAGTGATATGGTACAGATGGCAAGACCGCTCATCTGTTCACAGCTTCTGAAAGCAGGAAGGGCCCTCAGTGGCTTCCAGGGCTACTATAAATAAGCACGTGGTATACACATGCATCCCATATTCTTGATGCAAAAGATAAAATACACACTGGGCATCCTGTAATAATCAATAAATCACCTTGTTTCAAACCCTTTGGGCCTTCTCCTATGATCTTTCTTCAAGTACTTGTAGCCCCATTTTACTATATCAGCCTGGGTTCTAACTATCTCATTATAATCATCATGGAGACAGTTTGGAAGAAGATGACATTTAAGGAAATCATACTAGACTTTAATTTTTTTGCTGGCAGTGACTGTGCCCATCTCGTACATAGTATCTCCAGTAATTAACATATAGAGGGTAATTAATTCACATTGAATGAATGAATGACCAGGGCACAGAGCGATATTTCTGTCACCTTTGTGTGTGAATACTGAAGATCTTGCTATATGCTCAAGAGCCTTCACTCTGAAGCCAGTTGGCCTGTGTTCAGATCCTGGTTCTGTTCCTTCCTAGTTCTATGACCTTGAACAAATTCAGTACTCTCTTTGACTTAATTTCTTCATTAGTAAAGTGGAGATAACAGTACTTGTCTCCCAGTATCTTTTCTTAAGAGCAGATGTTTGAAAATGTGCTGAATGCTTATGACAGTATGTGGCACAGAGGAAATGCTTCGAAGTCTTAGTCGTAACAGTTGTCTCATTTCTTGTTCATCTACGCAAAGCCAGGCATAGTTAGAAGCCCTGGAAATACACTAGTGAACCAAACAGAAATCAGAATGAGATAACCACTTCATAGCTGAAGAATCATGCAACATCTTTAATAAATAAGATTGTCATTTCTTGAGCCCTCAAATGTACATTGCTTATATCGTGCTAGGTTCTTTTTAATGTAATATTTTTATTAATTCTTTGAGACTTTCATATATGCATATCATGTATTTTGGTCATATTTAACTCCCACTCTACCTTCTAACTTCTCCCAGATGCAACCTCTCCCCTGAACCCCATTTCAACCTTAATGTCCTCTTTTACTTATATCTTACTGAGTCCAGTGTGTGCTACATATATATGGGTAGGTGCAGGGATATCCACTGGAACAGGGCTGACCCACCAGGAACCACACCCCTAAAGCAAACTGACTGTCCCTCCCCTAGCAGCCACCAACTTTGTTGCATTCTTTACCCTCTTAGCATGTGTTCAGTCATCCCAATAAAAAAGTGAAGAGAATATGCCTGGTTTATTCTTTACCTTGATAAGAATGTAGATGTTTTTAAAAAGTATTTTATTTATTATTTTTATTTTATGTGTATGAGTGTATTGCCTGCATATATGTGAGTGCACCTGTGTCGTGCAATGCCAAGGAGATAAGAAGAGGGCATCAGATTCCCCTGGAACTGGAGTTAAGGACGGCTCACAGCCGCCATGCAGGTGCTGGAAATCAAACCTGGGTCCTCTGCAAGAGCAATCAGTGCTCTTAACCACTGAGCCATCTCTCCAGCCCCAAGCATGTAGCAGTTTAAGAGGTCAGGTCACCTACCTGAGAGCAGACAGAAAGGACTGGGCTCTTAGCTACTTATTCATCCACTGTCTCCTGGGTGGAAGGCTCTGGGCTGAACACATTCCAGGAAATCACAGTGGCAGCCTACAAGTTTATTTTTCAATAATCAGCCTGTCTCAAATTAAAGGAATCCTACCACAGAAGAGCCTCATGATAGATTGACTATAAAATGACATTTGTCCTCATGAATTTGGGACAAGAAGATGAGACAGCTAACAGAATGGCCCAAAGTTCATGTTGACAATCTCTGTGCCAATAAAGGGAGAAAACAGTATTTGAAAACAATTTAAATGCATCTGCCATGTATAAACCATCAATTGTTTCAAAAATGAGCTATTAGAAAAAGTAATCTTAATGCTCTTTTTAATTCAGGCTCTACGGGAGCTAAGCAACCATTATTGCAATTAATTGCTTTCTTGTTGCTTGACACTTTCCTTTCATTAAAAGAAATGAAAAAGATAAAAGCAAATTATACAATATATATTTATTCGAGCTGAGATGCCTTGACATCATTTATTGTACTTGAACTTGCCACACATCACCTGGTTATTCCTTTAAAACAAAAACTCCTGTAGCTGAAAACTGACTTAGCAGCCCTTCCTGCCATGCTATACTCAATAACCATGACTCAAAAAACATGGAGCTGGAAGAGGCTGAGATAATATGCTGTCACCCCCATATTTATCACCACATTTCCTGAATCATCCAGCTTCGTAATGATGATTTCTTTCCGTTCTTCGCACTGTTTGGCAACTACATGTTTTGTGAATACCTAAGGATGCTTATAAATATTCTCTCTCCTTGCAGCCAATAAATCTTTAAAATTAAAAGACAAAGTTAAAATGACTTCTGCATTTTGCCAACGCCTCCACTAAATGCACCATACATCTCACAATTCAATATTCACAGTTTAAGACTCGGTGATGACTTTCAATCTTACTATGTGGATAAGGAAGGAGGGGTGTGCTTTGTAGTTTATTGAAAGCTATTTGGGGAGTTAGTCTTGACGGTTAGATGTCTTATTCTTTCTGCTTCTCCATCCTTCCCTCTCCATCTTCCTTCATTGACAGCAGGCATTGCTCTCTGATTCCAAAGAACTTTAGGTCTTTTTATTTTTTCCATTTTAGAGTCAGAAATAGAGAGACAAATATTATAGAAACAACCCCAAGGATCTGGTACGGTGACACGGATCAATGCTTATTGAAATTTCAGGAAGCTTGATCTGCAGAGAGCACAGTCAGCTGGGGAGGCTCATATTTCTAGATAATGATCACAGAGTGGCTGGAGGTGGGGTAAGGAGAGTCAGACTGCTGGGCAGATGACCTCAGTGCCCAGCACTGGGGAGAACGCACAGATGCTTGGAAACAAAAGCTTGTTTACCTGAGTGGTGCTCCATGGACTCACAATGCCATCCACTTGTACATTGTGCTAATTCTAATGTAGAGGAGACTGTTTGAAGAAGCCCTCCTGCCCCCATTCCACTTGAAGCAGATCCCATCTCCCTCTGCCTCACTCTGATGCTTTTCCCGATCTGACTGTCTTCTTCTCTGCTCTTATCCCATGCCTTGACATCCTCTCCTTTCTAGATCATAAGTGCCCAGAAGGCAAGAACCTCACCTTGAAGGATACCTGGAAGATATGTGAAATCTGGTCAGTATTCAGAAGATTTTTATTACATTAGAATTTGATTATTATTCTACCCTTTCCTCCAAAACAGACTGCAACAATCAAGAACAGGATACCCCAATATTTGTTTCCTCAATAAGGCACAGAAGGCCATCCTATAATCTGGAAAGAACTTAAGAATTCTTGAACTGTAAAATACAGTCTGCCACTTGAAGGAAGATTGCTATGACAGTACATCACCAGGTTGATTTGTCACTTAAGGCCTTAGAAATTGTAGATGAATTCATAAATATGGGGTTGTTACAAATCACAAATTCACATGAATGGACGTGAATTTCCTATTTATATTTCACATTTATGTAAAGATTTTGCTTGCGCAGAATATTCCTAGCCAATAGCTAGTTCAAAAAAGTTGTGACTTAACAAGAAATACAATAGCTACAAGCTTCTTTGGTGGAGACAAGAACCCGCTGCAGAAGATGAAGATGTGTTTGGGCCCTAAATGAACCATCTGGCCTAGGAACTATCATTAGCTACTCTAAGGCAGAAAGAACTTATAAAACCACATCCAATGTGTTATTAAGACCAGCGTGGCGACTTTAAGACAATATAGATTCCTGAGCTATTTTATTTCTTGTTAAG